ACTCTTTCCTAAACAGCAATGCTGCCAATATAGGAAACTCTGGGGTTTTTTTTTCCCTCTTGGGGTATGTTTAGGAGAGTATTACAGGATTCCGTACCCTCACGAACACCAATCAACCACAACTGTGTCTTCACCTCGGGAAAATGAGCCATTACCCTTGGAAGCTACCGAGCGAGACGTGCAGAAAGGCAAGTACTTTTCATCTGCTTGGACAATGTTTGCCACTTTTTAAATTACTGCTATAGGGAGAAACTATTGCATAGAAAATAAATGGTTCTGTGGAGTTATAAAAAGGACATGCATAGAGTAGAACAGCCTTAGCTACTAGGTGTGCTGACATCGGAGGTAAAGCTGCTATAGGAAGGTTGAATCTCCAGCCATTCAATGGCATTTCTGCAAGGCTGTTTGTCACTACGTCAGCCATGCCAGTTCAGCTGTTAAAACTATTTGCAGGCCCATGCTCTAAACTGTATCACTGAAGTGCCTGAGGATTAAAATAATCCTTTTATAAATTGAAGCTATTTTTTATGCCACCTCATTTTAGTTGTTCAGCTTGCAGGGCAACACACAGCTGAACTGATACAACTGAGACAGAGGCAAAGCATACCTCATGTGCAAGGGATGAGAAACAAGCACCGGTAGACTGGACCATATCACGGTTCCTGTTCTGTTGCTAACTGAGTTCTCTTGTAACGACACACACTCCGAGCTCACAAGGTGTCTGTCACCCTGTGCCTCCGAGTCCCTTTGCATTGCGTTCCCATTTCGATGCTACACTTTGACTTCCCAGAAGGACTTACTTCTTCCCCCTGTGAACGCACACATACATTGCACGCAACTTTTCATTCTCAGGAATTACGAATGTGTATGTGAATTCCAAGCAAACGTTTGTACTTTTAAACTGTAAACCCTAAATACAGTATTCATGAAGATTTTCTAATTCATAATGAGAAGCCTTTGGAGCCAGACCTGCTCACAGCAACTGTACAAGTTCAAAGTAGCCTTGGTCTTTGTGTTTATCAGTCAGTTTTGGAGGTTGCTTTCAAGATTTTGTGACCACGAACTCTGCTAGAAGGAATACAGCCACTTTCCTTTTGAGGAATGATACTTTTAGAA